TAAAAAAAAAAAAAAAAAAGGAATTGCAGCAAAAAATGAAGGTCTGGAGGCTGAGAACAATTCATGTGGTTAGAATATTGCAGTTGTCCAGTGCAAGCCAAAGAGCAAAAGGGAGCAGTGATGTAGCAGTGTGCTACATCATGAACTTTTATCGAGAGATTCACCAATAAAAAAGAAACCATGAAAAAAAAGAATAAAAACATTTTTTTTTACTTTTACATAAAAGTATTTTAGAATATTTCCACGTAATGGAAATTCTTGAAAAGGAGAGCAATGTAGTCACAAAATGGCCTTCCAAAGCATTTGTAGTCACAAAAATACCTAGAAGATAAATTTATATTTTATGGTTTTTTTTAGATGCAAGTCAATCTGTAAGGATTCCAGGATATTAGAAATAGCTTAGCACTCCTAAATCAAAACAGAACTAGAGTATGTGAAGATCCAGTAAAGAAAGCTGAAAATTATGTTTTTCCTCCTTTTGTGCAAGGAGAGGAACCTGTTTATTTCAGTGAATCAAACACGCCCATAGCCAAATGCAGCCTTTTCAATTAATGATTTTTGTTAAACATTGCAGCCAACACAAAGGCCTTAGATATTGATCAGGGCCCCACATTGTTGCAGCATTCAACCCAACTAGCAGATCATTAGCCCTGCTGCCAACGCSTTGTTTGCTAAGCACAGGAAGGTGGCTCAAATCTCCAGGTTGGTAAAATAAATCAGACCTACCTCTAGACAAAAAAAAAAAAAAGAAAGAAAAAGGAAAAAAATGTGGGTTTTACATGTACAAAACAAAAGGTCAAATAAAGTGTCTTGTTTTCACCAGGTTTTCCTAAGAACAACTTTTGGCCCCTAAGGTCACTAGATTAGAATGAGGCAATAATGAATGTACTATAGGCCACGGAGCATAAATATTTAGGCTGGCAGTGTTCCAGAATCCCCTAATCTAGGTGAAACTCTTGCTGCAGGGTGAGAACAGAGAGCTGCCAGTTTGCCCTGGCTTCCCTGGAAGAAAAAGCCMATTTTGGTTGCAACTCCCCTCATTGGGGGCCCAATCAAATTGTCTGGGAGGAGGCACAGGGCTGGAACTTTAGCTTTGCAAAATCTCCTAGTCCAGGCCTAAGGACACTTGCTGGAATGCCTTCCACTAGCTATACAGCGTTGGAATGAGCTGGTTTTATGGCTTTCTCTATTCCTGTAACAGACAAAAAACAAACACAAAAATACCCTTTTGCTCACAATAGCCCAACAGTGGGTTGTCAAGAAAAAGGTGCTCCAAGATCAGGGCCGTGTGGTTACTGAAGCAGTGGGAAGGAGACACATTTCCCACCTGGGATGGGAAACACTCTCCCCAGCCACAAAACGAGTGGAAAGCTACAGTRCTTAGAAAGTAGGAGATCTAATTACAGCCTTTTAACGACTCTGAAGAGGACAATATCCTAAAGCAGAGAAACTAAGAGCCATTATGAGGCGAAAAAAAAAAATATATGAGTTTAAAATGTAACCTGCAAGAACGTGTTCTAAGGCAAGGACATGTACAACCTGCAGACATATTCTAGGAAAACAATCTGAGAAGTTTACAAAAATGAATCCTTTATGCTTGGGAAATATGAGCATTTAAAAAAAAAAAAAAAAGAACAGCACTCCGGAGAAGAAGTCCCAAGCAGAACTGGCAATCTCTTCTTCCCTCAAAAGGTTCTGGTAAATGGAAATCTAAAGAAATTGAAACAYTGTTTTCATACAAGGAAGGCAGGCTAAATAAAAGATGTAGAACTGGTGTTAGAAACGTGTAAAACTGTTGCCAAACCTGCATTTAACACCAATGTTTACTGAACTTTTAAACGCTCAGTTAAAAGAGAACAGAAACAAATAGTACAATTTTAATTAGGGTGAAATAAGCACCTTGCATACCTTAGAACTCCCTCCCTAGGACCTCATGTTTTCTGATTCAGTGAAGATAACAGATAATACGTAAGAGCAATTTTTGAAAAACCTTTACTAGCTRCTTAGTAATGTCTTTAGAACAGCAATGTATTTTCCAACTCTTTCGGAAAGCATCAAAAAAAGGAACAATCATAAATATTAAAGCATCTGATTGCAATTCCTCTTAAAAAAGGGGCTCAGCTTCAGGATCCACCCAGCTCTGCAGCCTCTCAGAGGCAGCAACTTTACTTTCTAAACATTAAACGAGCCTTAACAAACAACCCAAAAAACTGCTGTAAAATGAGTGATGCAGAGCCGGTACTTTGAATAACTCACTACCATGGACTCCTCTTCCTGCACTAACTTGTGCGATAATTTTATGGAAAGAACTGCCAAGCCTTCATCTGCCCATCATCATTTTTAGCTGTACRATCATCAGAAAAAAAGGGGTTTATCCAAATACATTTTACAAACACAGAGCACCTACAACATTTTCCTACTCTGCATTCACAAACATTCTGAACAGTCTTAAATAATCACAATTTAACAATAAACCGCRTCTGAACCAAGCACGCTGTTACCTCTTCTTTGAGGATGGATTGTTTAGCAGTTTTTGGAGCTTCCGTGGACGTCTCAGCTGCCATTTTCAGGGATGTCAGGCTTCCCCTGTCTTGTGCAAAGTCCAGGCTACTATGAAAGAAAGTCAATATTTGCTTTCAGAGTAAAGCTAAAGGGTTGATTTTGCATTCTAAATTAACAAATCAGGGCTCCTGAAGCAGCTTAGGGATGGGTGACTCAAAGGCAGAGAATTCAGAGCGGAAGTTTGGGGCAAATCCTTGGYTTGGGTATCTTGTAACACTCGTAATACTCTCGTAATACTTTGAACTTAACTGTTCAAAGCTCAGGTGTGGTTAGACCCATGCAGGGACAAGGCTTTTTTTTCCGTTTTAGTCAAAATGTTTCATTCTGGTCTGGTGAAGCTCCCTGKCAGGAGTGTTACTGCCACAGGCCTAAGCACAGCACAGCAGAAGCGGGAAMAGTTGGGCCAGGAGGACTTGCCGAGTAGAAGGTGTCCGCAGGGAAGGCAGCTCCGCTGCGCCCACCTCTGGGATGCGTCCGGGCCGGGAGCAATCCCGTCCTTCCCCAGCAGACAAAGCCAGGAAAGGCACCGGGACGTAGCCAGCTGAGGTGGCACGAGGTGGCCTCAGCGCGAGGCCTCGGGCTCCCTGGGGAGAAAAGACAGTCACCAGATGCTCCTACCTYGTCCCGACCGAATCGCCCGGCAGGCAGGAGGGCAGCAGGTGCCTTGGACCTTCACMAGGATCCGTGAAACATCCTCTGGAGCCCAACGAGGCGCTGGTGTCACTGCAGAGCTCTGGGCTCCTCCAGAGCAGGGGCTGCTATTCCAGGCTCCTCATCTTCAACCTCTAGCACCGAGGGGGTGAAAATCTATAAAGAGACAACGTAAAGAAGCAAACCAGTTTAAGCACCAAGAGAAACAAGATGATCTTTGAGACTTCTGTCATTCTCAGTTGATTAAAGGTTATAAAAACATTTCATAAAGTCAACAGAAAGCTCCTCATTGATTTCTGCTGGGCTTGAACAGGCTCTGTGGGGTCTTGGGCAATGCACAGTATCGGAACAGCAAATGCTTTTAGCACTTTCTTCCTCTGACCTCATCTTTATYCTTCTCTCATAACATCTACTGCAAATTTGGAAACGTTAAGAGCATGCAGCTACTTCTGATTGCTTATATATAAGATTTGCATTTAATTTCACAAAACAGTTTAAAGGAACAAAAAGGACAAAATATTTTTGGTTAACAGCGCGACRACAGGAATACAGCTAACAGATTAGCCCAGTCCTTCAGGAGGTAACAGGGCAGGCTCTTTCTTAAATCAACAGTTTTGTCAGATGAAGCTCTTTGTACTTCTGATTTAATCCACTAGGGGGTGCAATGACTCTATGAATTACTTTTTAGAAGGTTTCCCCCCAAAAAAGGTATTTTCTCATATTCAATTGGCTGTACACAAGTGGGAATCTCGTGTTTTTAGAAAGCTGAAACATCATTTGGTGCCTGAAGGCCTCAGTTTGGCTACTCACATCAGTCAGACTGCCAAGAGGTGCGAGACGATTGAGATCCCATCAACAAGATCGGCTGCAACGAACATTAATCCAGAAGCTGCAACGAAAGGAACCTGGGTCAGGTTCCAGAACAGCCCACGGCCCAGGCCTCGGATGGGTTTTCCTACACCCATTTTTCGGGTGGTTTTATCTGATCTGGGCTGCCAGCATCAGGATTTAATGGAAACGCAGCCACGGTGTCCTGACAAGCTCAGGGCAAAATAAAATAAGGAAGTTTCCTAATATCTGAGGGTCCCACTCAGGAAGGTGTGGAAGGAACCTCTCAAGCACCTCATGCACAATTCAGCCCACAGCCCCTGAACAGAAGATGGGTCCTTAGGACAGAGGCAACTAAAAGCCTCTAAATCCCTTTAACCCGCTGCCCTGCACCACGTCCATGCGTTTGCGTTTCACCAGTACGAACCTGGCGGCAAAAACATTTAACTAGCAGAAAACGATGGGAAAGCAGCAGGGASGGGGACAAGTGGGGATGGGGAAAGGAGGAGGAAAGGGTGCCTGTCCTCGTGTTTAGCAGCACGGATGGACCGCCGGGCACGACACGGGAAAAGAGCCGCTCTCCCCGCCCGGGACGCACGTACGGGGCCGGGGCCGGGGCGCGGAGCCGAGCCGAGCCGAGCCGAGCCGAGCCGAGCGACCGTTGGTGCGACCGTTGGTGCGGCCGTTGGGCGATGGCGGCCGCGTGCGCCGCCCTTCGCGCTCCGGCTGCGCCGCGCGCCGCGGCGGAGGTTCCGGGGGAGCGGGCGCTTCCGGGAGCGGCGGGCGCAGCGGGCCGGGCCGAACCGAACCGAACCGGGCCGAAGCGAAAGCGGGAGGATGAAGAAGGAGCAGGTGCTGAACTGTCGCTTCTCCGTGTGGTACCCGCTCTTCCGCGCCATCACCATCCGCAGGTGAGCGCGCCGCGGGCCCGCGCCGCTTCGGGCCGGTTCGGGCCGGCCTAGGGGGGCGTGCGGGGAAACGCGGTGGGGTTGGAAGGGGTTGGGATGGGATTTGGGAAGGGGAGAGGCGTCCCGAGGGAGCGGGCAGGCCGGGTGAGCGTTGGGTGGACTGAGGGAAACTTCGTTTTGTGTCTGAGAAGCCTTAAAAGCGAGCAGCGTGTGGTGCCCGTGCCCCTGTGCGCCTCGAAGGGCCCTGGAGAGGCAGGAAGGCGCTTTTGTGCATTTCGTTTAAAATCCCTATTATCCCTTCTCCTTTCCTGGCCTGGTGAGGAAAGGGGAGTTGCTTTGGGGGAAGGGATGAAGGGAAACAAGTGTATTTCAGTGGGAAAGCGTGAGACAGTAGGACGTGCGGCTATGGAAATACCTTCTATCAACAAATATTTAAGTTAAATCCATTTATTATTATTTTTTCTTCAGTACCATACTTCCCTTGCCAGAGAACGTGAAAGAGTATTTGCTGGATGACGGAACGCTTGTAGTTTCTGGAAGGTAAAGAGTTTCTGTGGGCTGCCCCTTCAGTAACTGTTGTTGTTCTGTATTCACAGCACTGTGTTGTGGCTGCATTTGGTAATTTCTGTAGTGAGTTTTGTGAATTTGGCTGGTCTGGCTGCAGGAAACCTAATGCTGTGTGAACAGGACTTGCCAGGACTTCAGATCCCCAGATCCATGTGCTGTACTCGATTCTAGACCAACTAGGGACAGTCTTTAATTTTTTTACCTCATTTTTTTCCACCTTTCCATGCAGAACCTACCTATTTTTCAGTAGTTTTTTTTTTTTTTGTGCACTGCCACTGGTTTGGTTGTTTTGATACCATTAGTTCTGGCTCTGTGCCTTGGCCTSAGCCGCAGCAGTCGTGTGTCTTCCATGATGATGTATCATTACTGGGGTTTAATTCTCAATAAGATAAACTAAGTAAAAAGTTTTAATCTTAAATATACGTTCTTATAAAGTTGAGCTTGTATAATCATTTAAATACATATAACCTGTACACATGACTAGGCCTGAGTGTCTTATGAATACACACTCAAGATGTAGGTCCTACATCCCAAGATTTTTTGATGCAGAGGGATGGAATAGATAGATGTGTGAAATATCAGTCAAAACTGTTTTTACTGTTTCAAAATTTGAAATAACTTTATTTTCTGCTTAGAATCTCACTATGTGACTTGATTATCATATAGAGCAATCACACTTGGAAGGCAATCCACCCTGGAACATTAACTGGTGCTTTGTCTATTCCACAGGAAAACCAGTTAGAATGTGTAAATAAGGGAATTGTGGAAAATTGAACTATTTGAACTTATATAGGTGAAGGCCTTTTCCTCTTTAATTATTTATTTTAAACAAGAAGTATCTGGGGAAAAAAAAAAAGATTGTTTTCTAAACAGTTTTATATAGACAGTAATATTGTTACCTGTTTCTACTTAATTATATGATCTGTTTAGCAACTGCTGTGTATCTTGTAATCAGCCTTCAGAAAAGCTGACGCTGATGGTTTGAATGGGCAGCTATGGCATAGGAATGATTTCTGCTGTCCTCAGTGGAAGGATGCACAGCTCCATAATTGATTTAAATGGTATTTTTTTAAACTGTTTCTAATTTAAAATTTTCCTTTAAAAGCAATTTTTCAGTGAGCTGAGCTCTCTTAGGTAGATGTTGATGTGATCCTCCTACATTCAAGGCCAACGTTAGCTTTGAACCTCAGTGAGCCAATATCTGACTTCTAGAACTCAAAAGCTGAATTGATAATTTAATCTCTGTGGAAGTGCATTAAGGAACTGCAGAGGTACAGTAAAAAACAACTACCTAACACCGCTACAGAGCTGTTATTTGAACTTGGCCTGCTTGCTACACTGGCTTTCTATGAATAAGTCTTTTTTTCAGTAACTGTGTTCTATCTCTATGAATTTTGTGTTATGTGGTATTGGCTAGAGAACCCCCAAAATCACCTTTGTGGGAATATTTACAATCAAGTTCCTTCCCTCCCCCCCCCCGCCCCGAGAAGTGCAGCTATTTACAACATATGTGGAGCATCTCGTAGGTGCAGAAAAAGGAACTTTTCATGAAGAAGTTAGTGACTGTGAAAGCAGCCCTGTAGGCCCCAAGAACCTTCCCAGCTTGTAGGATCTCTTCTCAAATTTTACAAATTTGTGTTTGGAAAAGGAGTGGGAGCACAATATTAGGTGAATTTACCTAATTAATATCAGCACAATATTAGGTGAATTTACCTAATTAATATCTAATTTACCTAATTAATCAATAACTGATATGTTCTATGGGATTACAATATATGTGGTCAAGCCGAGCTCGAGTACTCAGTCTTTCTTCCCTCTCCCTCCCCTTCGTTTCTGTTTTAGAGAAGATTCTCCATCTCGCCCTCAAGAGGGGAGTGACAACGAAGCAGAGGAARTACAGGTCAGTGAAAACATAACTTAGTGTGGGATCTATTGAGAAATACATAAATATTTAACCACTTTGTCGTAGTTTGTAGGGAAGATAGTACTTAACAATGACATGGTATTTCCCTTGAAACACTTAGAAACGTGGTTTTATGTACAGTGATGTCAGAGAAGGCTTAAAATGTTTTTATGCTCTTTCACCCATTTTTTTTAAAAAGTCTTTGTTACTGTGGTAGTTATAGGAGTAGGGTATATTGGAATCGAAATTAATGCTGTTTCACAGGCCCCCAAAAATAGAAGTAGTAGATRCTTGATTATTTCAAGGAGCAGAAAAAGTCTTTGAGGCCATAATAGATCAGAGGGGTAACCCAGAAGAAAAGTCTTGAAAAGTGGTGTCAGCACAAGATGACAAAAGGTACAGAAATAAAGAGAAAGGAATACAGGGAAAACTRTTGAGTCTGGAGTCTGAAGTTGGAAGTGCTGGAGATGGAGATAAGCTTTAGGCAGATAAGAATGCATCAGTTTATGAAACGTTCATATTTCTGATAAATCGTAATCGCATCAATAGGCACTGGCTCTAAGCGTTGATGCCCTTCTGCAATTTCCAGGGGATCCTCTGTGTTTTTTGATGTAGAGAATACTCACAATTTTTCCTTTTTTTAATTTACAACTGTACACAAGATGAGGATTTTTTTTTTTTTTTGACATTACGGATGCTCTACGTCAATTATTTGGTCTGCTTGTTGTAGGAAATTCTGATGTTCTTATAAATTGTAAAGAATGTCTCATACCAGTGACCTTTGACTTGTTTTTGTTTTTGGCAGTGGTCAGATGATGAGAATACTACAACACTTAAGGTAAGGTGCTCTGAAAGCCAGACGTGTGGGTGTGTCAGCAGTGTTGGTTCTGCAGCCATCGGATACAAGCTCATTCCTAGAGTTAGAGGAACATCTTTTGCTGTAATTAACACTTTCCAGGCCATCTAGATGGATGGCATTGTAGATACTAGTACATTTAAAATGTTTGAATGGCTTAAATTTGTCTTAAATGTAAAAGTAAATTTAAATGTATCTTAAAAAAAAAAAGCTTCCTTGCCAAGAATCACACATTTGTTAAACTGTAGGAAATGACCTGAAGTGTGCCACTAGATAGAGCTGTCTCACATTCTCACCACTTTGAATGTCTCCCAATTACTTAATCAAACTAGATGAAGAAGAAATGAAGTCCCTGCAGCTCAATTTTTGTAGCTCTTGTACCTTTGCTGTTAGTTCCTTTCCATCATCTTTTTCCTCCTTTTCTTGTCTTTCCGTTTTTCTTGCCTTATGCCTGGCTTAGAATAAGGATCATGATGCCTGTGAACTAGGTTCTATTTTATTTATTTATTTATTTATTTATTTATTTATTTATTTGGAACTTGCCCTTACCCTTTGTTGTTACAGTTCATACTTTTGTATCATTTGTCTGCCATTGATAACACTATTTCAGTCATATTAACTCCCTAATGTTCAACACAGTGTTGAATAATAATCCCTTCTAGGATACACATTTTTTTCTGGTTTCACTGCGTCTCTCCTTGGTTTGTTCCACAGAGCTCAAAAACTCACTTTTTAAAATAGTTCATTATGGGAGTGGCACGTGTCTGTGGCAGTTTTCTATGAAAATATATCAATATTTGGTCAAATAATACTCTAGAAATGGGATTTGACAATATACAGGCTTTTAAGCTTGGAAAAGGCTTGATCTCTATCCATGACTCCAAGACTCCATCCATGGCAAATTCACTTTTTCTACCCAAAAGGTAGGGGCTGCTCTGAGGCTAGGTCAAGCATTTGGAATTTAGGAAAAGTTCATCTGTTTTGTGCTGCCTTAGAGGGATCCTCTATTTCTTCACTTGCATTAATCAAATGACATAATAGTAGCATCTCTCCAGGGAGCTCTGGTACATATTAATATTACGTATATGACATGACTTCTGATTTCTGTCAAAACTAGAGAAGATTAGATCAGAACACAGTGCTGGGAGCGTTCTGCTTTTTGTAGGAATGATTTCTAAAAGTGACTGAAGCTCTAAAAATCAAGTAAGAGTAGTGCTTGTTCAGTTTTTCAGGTAGTTTCCCATGGAGGAATTTCCCATTCCCAAGGAATGAATCAGAATATATGACGTTCAGTCTAGGTCATTGCACTAAAATGTATTTTTTTTTGTATTTTTYTGTTTGCTTGTTTAAATATGTCTGTGCTGGGGAGGGAACAGCAAAGGGAAGATACTGTAATATATAAAATTGTTCCATCATTTGTGTGACTACAAGCACCTGGATGTCATCTTCGAGATACATTTGTTAAAAATAAGCAGAAATAGTATTTCTATATACAGTTTCCTGCAGATCCTATTACATGAAAAATCTTGACAAGTGTCTGAAATGCTTTCATAAAAGTCAGCAATCTAGTTTTTATGTTATGCCACCTTATGTGAGTGTGTGTATATATATATATATATACACACACACACACACACACACATTTATATATATATATATATAAATACACTACAGTATATGCTACTGTGAGTTTTGGCATCCTGAGGATGTTTCTCTTTCCTTGGTCAATGATTGCTATATTTATTTCAGCATATGTTGTATCCTTTATAAGTCTAAATCTTCTACTGTATCTCATCTCTTTCCAGTATGTTCTCTCTTGCCTGATTCATTTTACCTAAGTTCTACCTAGTATTTTACCTAAGTTCAATGCAATTAAAAGTATAACAACGGTCCTGATCTTTCTACCTTTTAATGCTTTGACAGGATTATTGTAATTTTTTTCAAAGAGRCTGTTTATTAGACTCACAAATTTACAAGCTGTTGCAGTTTTCATAGTGGAGGTTATAAAGTTTCGTGTTTAAAGTTCATGGACTCTTACTAGTAATGAGAGTAACTAGAAACATACTTTAAAGGATAAAGTGTGACATTTTTGAARATTGCGAATTTTGAAAATGATTCATTCTACAAATTTGTTGTTTTTCTGGGGTACTTGCTTCATGGTCTCTGGATGAGGTTATTCCTTATAAAGTATGTTTTGCTACTGGTATTTATAAGATGATTGTAATTAAATTCTAGCACTTTTAATACATTTATATTTTTGGTTTTCTTTCAGGCTCCAGAATTTCCTGAGTTTGCAGCTAAAGTCCAAGAAGCAATAAGTTCTTTGGGAGGCAGTGTTTTCCCTAAACTTAACTGGAGTGCTCCAAGGGTAAGAAYGCTGACTCTTGAAACTTGTAACAGATATTGTCAAGAGAGTTTTTTTTATTGTTTTGTTTTATCTTAATTCACTGGAAAATAGAAGAGGCTGATAGCTTGATAAAGGGAGGAATGATAGATAAGATATCAGTGAAGTGTGATACAGCAAATTACTGTGGGGGATTAGAGCTACATGGTGCACTGTTTGGTGAGGCTGACCCTGGCTAGCACTTTCTTTCACATAAAAGTCCCTGTATCCTTCTCAGATAACAGCAAAGGTGAGACTCCCCTCATTGGGAGTATTAATTGAGAACTTTGAGATTAAARCAGCAAAAAAGGTATTTAAATCAATAAACTTTCCTCAAATTATTTTTAATCACTGGAACKATTCCTTAATGATGCACAAGTATATTTTGTGTCACGTTCTCAAGGGAGCATTTTGTCCAGACAGTCTAGGAAGTAAAATAGAGGAAGCTCAGTTTTTAAATGGACTTGCTGRACTTTTGTAAGAATATTAACTAAGAAAATCAGTAGCTATTCCAAGTCTGTGGTAACAGCTCGTGAAGCTTTCCTGCAGACCCCACTCTCATCCCAAAAGTGTTCTCTGCATGTGTTTCCAGTGGTATATTTAAATGCAATATTTATTTTATTTGCGGATAGATCTGTAGTTTGTTTTCTTTTCAACCAATAAAGGTACATTTTGTATTTTTTTTTTTTTTTTAATTTAGGATGCCTATTGGATTGCAATGAACAGCTCTCTGAAGTGTAAAACACTCAGTGACATCTTCCTCCTCTTCAAAAGCTCAGATTTTATTACTCGTGACCTCACTCAGCCGTAAGTAGATTTCTAGCAGACACAATCTTACTTTAACCAGTCAAAAAACCCTAAGCCTCTGAGAAGGGAATGCATACCTCTCTGAGAGAGAATGCATATTAGCATTTCAGTTAATTTGAAAACTCTTATTATTTACTGAAAAAGAACTGCAAGTATCTGATATGACATTTTTCACATGCATAGGTTAAAGTTGTTGAATCCAGATACAGTATGACCACAAATAGTGATTACAGACAAATTCTAAGTGTCGTTGGGGTCTGTTTTGTCTGCTAACATGAAGAGAGTATTTGTTGAATAGGAACAGCTTTCTTTTGCAGTATCCATATCTGATTCACATGCCARCTTCTAAATGTTGCCTTTTATATCAACACAACATTAGATGTTTTAGAGAAATACAACATTTTTAAATTGCACCTGCTAACTTATTGTAGAAAGGGGATCACCAAAAGTACTTCAAGCTCCTTGGGGAATTCCTGTTCGGGTAATCGCATTCCAGGGAGTTTGGGACACAGTCAAGGGTCTAGCAAGCACCACCTGATGGTGCTTGGTGGGGTGTAGATGCTTCTTGGGACTCCTGGCTTACACATTGAAGAGGAGAATGAGTTGGCCAGGCCCCATTCCTCGGAGTTGATACTGGTGTGTCTTCTCTCATGGGTTTTAGTCTCCTATCAGCAGAGTTAGGACCTCTGCTGTTCACCTCACCCTCTGCAGACAGCACTGCTGCTTAGTGGTAGAGATAGAGGACATGCTCTAGCTCCTGTGCTGTGGATCTCAGYGTGGCTGCTACCCTGCAGCAGCAGCAGTGATTGCAGCTTAAGTTCACACCAGGCTGAGAGCAGTGGTGGCCACATAGAGCGTAGCAGACACCATCTCTGTTGTGGGAGAAGTAATCTCTGGCAGAAAGACAGTACCTGAAATTGCTCCCTCTAAACCCACTTGCTCACTTTCCAACATGCTAAGGCAGCTACAGCGCTTTCCTAGCAGTGGTTTTATGGTTATATTTGATAGTATTATATAATATTATAAATAATACTAYATATTGATATAAACATGTACTGCTGTCCAGTCTGTGCATGGAATTTCTAAATTGCTAAACTACTCATRCAAAATGTCCTTCTTGATATGTAGTTACTGCTGAATCACAAAGGCAGTCTTCATTAATCAGCCTGTTGATTATCTGCCAGCTCCCTAGKCCTTAGCAAGCAGAAATTAAAAATGCAGCTGACATAAAGTGCTGAACAAATGAAAATTGGCTACATAATCTATCCAAATCACTTGGAAGAGCTAGTCAGAGGAGGGAGAAGGAATAAAATATACTATRTTTTCATTATATACCACCCTGAATGATAATGAAAAAAGATTTAAGTGTCTTGCCCTGCATACATCACAGCCAAAATGTTATATACTCTGCTTTTTTTTGTTCAACTGTCTCTTAAGTTAAAAGAATCTATTTTGGGGGTCATAAGGTAGAAAAGACTTCACATAGCAATTTGAAGACCTGCTTCTGAATGCAACTTTTTTCAGGGACCTCTGGTTTTTATTCCTGTTTCTTTCTCATCTTAGGCCCCTATCATGTCCTGTTTTCGGATGCTGACCCTAGGTGGTGTTTAGGGCAAGGAGCTGCCCTCACTGTAATTGTTAACTGCCAAGTTCAGAGAACATTCCAGCTGTGCAATACTTTGATACAAACCWTTTAAAAAAGAAATATAGAGCCTTACTCAAAGCTTACCTAGCCATGTTCAGTACATTTGCATTAAGGATTTGGATTCTCTTGTGGTGTCGACGCTTTCTTTGTTGAAAATAATGACTTAACTTTCCTCTTAGAATAGGAATAAATTTACAAAGGCTTCTGAGCAGTGTGCTCATTAATGTAATCAATGTTGTTTCTGCTTCAAGTAAGCTTTGCTTTTTACTTGACTGAATTCACAGAAAACATTTCAGTTTTTAATGTAGGCTTTCAAGAACTTAGCGCTGTGGATACATGATAAAAAATCCATTTCTAATGGGTATTCCTGTTAAATGATTAAATATCTTATTTTGAACAGTTCCTTTAAGGACTTGCTCAGTGTATTATTTCATGTATTTCTCCCTTATTTTTAGTGCGTCTGGGCTATGAGTCATTAAGACGTGAAAACCCACCTTGGGACTCGTACAAATAGTGGCAATAATACTAATGATGTAGTAGTGTCCCTTAAATTATAAACCGAGCTCATTACCTCACCTATGTACTGAATGTTTCACATCTGTAGGTGCTCTTATAGGGATGTTAAACCCTGCAGCAGTCTGATTTTTCCAGTTGTTTAATAATTACAGTGATAGGGAGAAATATCTCATTTATATAAAGCAAATATGTTCTCTTTTGGGGTTGCCCTTTGACTTAGCACAGAGGGGGCAGCGTGAGTCAGGTCCCAGAATAACTGTTGACTAACATGTAAATAATAAGGGTTGTAAATTGATTTTTTTTCAGTGTTTTAATTGACCAGCTGTTTCTATAGACCTGTTMCTTCTCAAGTTCATTCTTGAAAACTTTGAGAAGCTGGTGAAGGTGTTAGAATAAAGAGTCCAACAGTAGTAGCTCAACCACTTAAGCCCAGGCTGCTTTCTTGCWGGAAAGAAGGGAGCCTGTGTGATAACCTTAGATAAGAAATGACTTCCATGTTAACAAAGCATGAGAAATAGCTCCCACTGGGCAGGGGGAACATCTCCAGATGTATTATTTATATGCAGAACACACAGATCATGAGGGGAGATGCAGTTTTTCTGTTTAGTGTTGTGGATTGTTTAAAACTTAAGTGTCTACTTCAGCCTGTCATTCAGAAAGTCTGCTCCCAACTGGAGTTTAGCCACTAAGACTCTTATGATCTTATGCTTAGTTTTAAAATCCAGTGAATGTTTCAGTACTTCTTTTTTTCTTTTAAGTTAGTACCCTGATTATGCTTTTGAAATCAGCATTCTATATGTATTGGATCCAGAAAGTTCTCTGGTTGCTAAGAATTAGATGACAAAACCTTCAATATGAGCAGCTAACTGCGTTTTTGTAGCCAGGTCTGATGGATGGAGGACCCTCATCCAGGAGGTGCAGGGATTGTGTGCCCAAAATGCACRGACCCCAATGTATGCAGCAAATACCACTGCAGTTAAGTTCCTTCAAACAACATACCCTACACACAGGATTAACCCATTTCACATAAGAAAATAAATTAAATTACCCCCCCCTTTCTGCCCCTCTTCTTGAGATTTGGAGAAACAACAGTCTGGTTCTCCTGACAGAAGATAGGAGGCAGTGTTGGCTCATAAACATGTGACTTGGTGTTCAGGATGTCATGTTGAAAGAACTATAGCCATTGATTTAGACACTTATTAACCTATTTCATGGCAAACCTTTGCACATGAAAGACAGTGAAAAATGAGGTTTTAGGCAATATGTATTTGCTGAGATTTTTAACTCCCCTTTTTTAACTAAGAATTCATAGAATGTCTAGTACAAGATGCTCTTTTGAATGCTATTTAAATCTCCTCCTATTTGCTTAGGGTCCTTAGTTGAGTACTTCTCCAGTAAAGTTCAATATTTGCGAAATAAAGATACAGTTCAAAGACTGTTAGAAATTTCTCCTTGATTTTTATTACGCTTTTAAATTAGAYGGTGAGATAGTAGCAAGGGAGCTTGCCAGGTACAAAATAACTCTTAAAATTTTCATTGTTCTGCAGATAATAACAAAATATGAAAAAACATAATCTTAATGATTTGCAATTCAGTTTATGGCTCTCTTAGCAGGAGAGGTACTGAAGGTCTTATAAACATTCTTAAATCACCCTGCTCAGAGCACTGAGAACTGAGTAACTACTTCATGTAGCAACTATGCTGTTAAGAGCAAGCATTAGAGCTTAACGTACCCCGGCATGTATGGAGGCCTTGATCCTTCTTGTTGATACCTAAATATAAATCTGTAAACAAACTCAAGGCTTATAAACTATGGAGTTTAATTTCTTCATTCATACTAGTGTTCATAATGATGKTTTTCAAAAGTTTCAGAAAAGAATCCAGTTATCTTTTAATTTTGCATTCCTAAAGTGTCTCTGAATGCTGTTTGGATTAGCCGTAGATCTGAGTAGGATGCAAGTTAAACTCTGCTTTTGCCTCCAATTATCAAAGGGCCATGTGAAATGGAGGGATTGAGCTGTAATACATTTGGTATAAAATACATAGTTACAACAGCATCCAGTTGCCCCTGATTTACATAGAAAAATGGAGGATGTGGATAAGGTTTTGTTGACAAAAACAAAATTGAGGAAAGAGAGGACAGTGGCTTCAGTTTTTATCTTTTATTGCCTTTTTCCATTTTGACCTCATTGAGGTTCAAGGAGAATTATATTTCTGCATTTTGCAATGTTTTTTTCTATATTTACCCGTTTGTTTGCTCGGCTTGGTRGTAGTATCTAAGCAGTCACCATGGCTTGGGATGCACACAGGGACTCCACTTAATGACTTGCAGGGAGAGAATCTTCCTCCACATGAAGCCCTCTTAAATATTTGAGGGTTTGGTAAGGGATATTTATAAGGGATATTTATTTCTGATCGATAATTAAGTGTGTTTTGTGATGACTGTAAAATATTGTCAAGGTGCCTCTTAGTGGAGTGGACCAGAAAGTCCATGAGAGGTAGTACAGGACCAAATGATAGATTTGTACAGGGATTGTGCAGGGGGTTTTAGAGCTCCACATGCTGAGCTTAAGCTGTCTTTTATATAAAATTTAGGATTGTTTTTATGTGAGGTCAGAGTAGGGGGGACTGAGGGGTGCATAGTGAGCATATGATAGTGATGCTATACTCAGAATTTCTGCAAAACTGCAAAACGTCCTGAGTCTCCTTCTATCATCTTGACAGATCTGAGATTGCTGGGAGTAAACCCCAGGCTTGGTGACTGTTCGATGTTTGCAGAGCTTTGCAGATGCATGTGATGTGTTTGATTGCAGTGGTTGGGAATGCACATGTGCTCTTGCCTCTCATACCCACTCTGTGGTGGGTATTAAAGCCTAAACTGAAACACAGGAGATGTATTTTTGTTGGCAAACCTGTAGAATGAACTYGTGGGACAGTCTGTGCTGCAACCTGAAGGTTGAGCTGTTGTGTCTTACGAACGCAGTGCTTAGACACGAGGTCAGACCCTGGGATCATCTACCCACCTTCAGAGCCAGCGAGGAGCTGCATGAACATTGCCCTGTGAAAACACTGCTCAGCTGTGACCCTGTACACAGCTCTGCTGTGCACCCAAGGAGCTTGGTGCCAGCTGGGCCGGGGAGCATCCGTGGAAGGAAAATGCCTGAGCTTTTGATGGCCTTTAAAAGTTACAAGATTTATTGTAAGGTTTGCCATATAAAAATGAGCATAAATAGTTGGTTTGGGTATCACTGCCTCCATTCTTGATAGCTCCTGAGTGGTGGCTCAGAGTCAGATAATCACAGGGGGGAAAAAAATCTTGGCATCTGCAGCAGTTTTGCAAATAGTTGTGTTTATTTCCAGTCTCAAGAGCTGTTTTTCCAAGTGCATTAATGCTGTTAATTTAGCAAGATGCCGTGCTGTGCTGGCAAGTGTGTCGAGTGGTGCCATATTATGTCCCTTATTCATGGAAATGAAAATAATCCTGAGGTGCTGTAGGACGTGATGTGTCTCAGTTGTTGTGTTTAGGAAGCAAAACATCAAAATTAGTAGGAGAAAAAGCTGCCACAAGGAGTGAGTTAGGTTTGTGAGTTAAAGTGAGTTAAAGTTCATACAGCTCTTTGAGAATCTGGTTGTGCCAGCGTAGCAGTAAAGAAGAAAGGAAACGCACTGATAATGCAAACAAGACTCAGCAATGCAAAATACTTCATTTTTATCTAGATGTCTGTGCAAGGGCTTCTAAATTACACCAGATAACCAGATAAAAAGATGATTTTTTTTCTCCTTGATAATCCTTGGAAGGAGGCTTGTTAGTGACTTACTGACTTGGGTTGTTCATCTCAGATATACTTTTTTGATAAGTTTTTTATTTTTTTTATTGGATCTTGGATCTTTTACGATTCACAACTCAGTTTTTTTTTTTTTTTTTCCTGTGGCTAAAATTTTACATGTAAAAGCAGGTTTTGATGTGTGTGACTTATTTTCCCAGGTTTATTCACTGCACTGACGACTCGCCTGATCCTTCCTTGGACTACGAGGTAGGACCTGATTTGCCTTATTTCTTGGTAATTTAAATGAATTACTGGTGGGCAGGCTGCCATTTGTGCTTGGACTTGTGCCAGTAATGGTTTGCTTTTGTCTTTTCTTCTTTTTTTTATTGTATGCTTGAGCAGTGGGGAGAAGTCTAGTTAGGAACCTACAGGCCGCATGGAGTTTGCTTAATTACAGGTCAGCGATGTGCTGAGGCTTTTAAGGCTGTTCGTACTTTCTTCTGATGTCTGTTAGGTTTTGCCAGGAAAGGAAAGCCCAGTAGCTGAAAATCATAGAATCATAGCACATTTTTTGTGACCATTACATCAGAAGTCGCTTAGAGTCAGAAAAGACCTTGGAAAAGGTCTTGAAAGGTGGGAAAAGACCTTCAAGTGCAACCATAAACCCATGACCACCCTGTCCTTAAGTATCTCATCTACACGTTTCTTGAGCACTGCCAGGGACAGTGACTCCATCACTTCMCTGAGCAGCCTGTTCCAATGCTTGACCACCCTTTCCTCATAGAAATTTTCCCTCCTATCTAACCTGAGAAGAGAGAGAAACCAACTGTAGAGGCTGGGGCCATCCCAACTGCTAACAACTGTCTTGGTTGTATTTTGTTATATGTGTTCGTTACTGAATTAAAACCTTAGGTTAGTCATTTAGATGTTAATGATGCTTTAAACTCTTCATGTGCTGCTATCTTTTTTTTTTTTTTTTT